TTACTCAAGAAGCAGTGGCCACTGTAAACTGCCTTCTAGTTTACTGACTTGATACCTCAGGCTCTACGAAGTTGATACCACTTCTTGGGGCTTGGGCTCGGATTTTTTTTATCCACAGTGTTGACTTCAGCTGCAGCTCTAAGTGTCACATTATATCTGCTGATATACTTGCTTGCATAAACAAATGACAGACTTCAAACTGTCAATAATTCCTAAAAATTATCTAGTTAAAAGGTACAGAAATAACCAAAATCAAATGAGAGGGCTCAGGAAGAAGCCCATCATGCTAAAAAGAAGGAAAAGAAATATTATAAATCAATCTATACACACAAATTTAGTAGTCTTGATAAAATGAACCAATTCTTTGAGGAAACATTCTCCCCAAAAAATACACCAGTAGAAACAGACCATTCAGCAAAGAAGACAAATAAACCCCTAGTCATATTTCAAAACAGCTCCAGTACTGTATGCATTTACTGGTGAATTCAACTGAACACTTCAGGAAAACTTATACAAAAAATTTAGAGTTTTTAAAAGAAAGAAAAACTTACACAGTTCCCTGTAATCTGTTAAAGAAGAGAGATGCAGAGAGGATATTTCTTGTCGTATGAGACTAGCACCACCTTAATATTAAGCTAAGAGATAACATGAATAAAAGGCTACATACATATCAGTAACTTTCATAATCAAAATGCAAAAAAAATGCTCACGAAATATTCACAGATTGAACCCAATGCATTTAACATACATGTTTATGTACATATATGACATATATGTATATATTATATAATATTTTTAAAACTACATTCTACAACCAAGATATGTAAGACTTATTCAGTATCTAAAAAATGAATTCATGTAGTGTATTATTTCCCCAATAATCTGTAGAGGGAAAATAACATTATCATACCAATTTATGCAAGAAAAGTATGTGACAAAACCCAACCCTCATTTATGACTTCAAATAAAAGTCTCACGGAATCTACTTCAACTGTGAAGAATGTCTATGAAGATGCTAGAGTGTTAACAACATTCTGAGATACTTGGAACTTTCCTGATGAGAACAGTAAGAAGGCAAAGATGTTTTCCCTCACTACACCTTGTCAACATCCCTTCATAGTGTAATAAAGCAATAATTCATTAGATATTCATTGGGGAAAAAGAAACAATGTTGACTTCATTATAGATGATATGATTGTCGAGGCAGAAAACACAAAATAACCTCTAAAGAGTCCAGGAATAATACATGATTATAAGAAGTTCCCAAGTCTGAAGTATTGATACACAAAAGGGAAAGAATTTGCATATTTTTGCATAGGCTAGATTCCATATTCATGAATAAGAATACATGAAATCTGAACTTTCAAACACTACACAACTTTTATTGGGTTCCTAGCACCAAATGGAATAGTTACAACTCTGGCAAATATACACAACCCTATCTGAGAAGACTACAAATATCTAATGAAGTAAAGACCTAGACGGAGAAACAGTTCACATTTGTGAGAAATAAGACTCAATATTGTCAAGATGTCATTTGTCCCCTATGTACCTGCAGATCCAATGAGCTCTCAATAAAAATTCCAGCAAGACAAAATCGTTGTTATTATCAACAAAATGATTGCAAAAATTATAATAGGAAAGAAAGCGCTCAGGATAGCAAGCACAAAATTGAAGAAATATTGCTAAGTATCTTCATAGTATTGATAGAAAATGTCAGAGGACAAATACTACCAGCTTTAAGAACTACAAGGCAGTGTGTTAGTGGAGGAAGAATAGAAAAATAGACCAGTGGAACAGAAAAAAGAGTGTAGAGATGGCCCCACACCCCCACTGTTTGCAGACCTTTGACAAAGGAGCAGCGATAACTCAGTGCAGCAAAGACAGTCATTTCAGGAAATGGTGTAAGAATGACTACACATCCACATGCAAACAAAAGTGAATTTAGTAGACTTTTCACAAAAACTAATTCAAACCTTATCGCACTCATAAATGAAAATGTCAACACTACTCAGCAGGCTGATGACTTTTCTTGGCAGTACTGGGGTTTGAACTCCAGGCCTCATGCCTGCTATGTAGCTCTCTACCATTTCAGCCCCACGCAGTCCTGGAGATGACATTTTACACACAAGAAAGTGGGTATGATCTGCAAAGAGAGCATTATTAAACTGTTTATAATCATCACAACAATGTGTTCTGCTCTGTGAAAGATATCCAAGACAACGAAAAGGCACACAATGGATTAAATATGGACAACAGACAGATCTGGTCAAGGGCTATTATCCAAATATACAAAGAACTCACAAAACTCAAAATTTAAAAAAATCTGAATACAAATGGGCAAATTTCCCGAAGTCTTCTTTATAAAAAAGATCACACAAGGAGGTAAAGCAACATGGTGAGCAAGATCCTGCAGCAACCATCTCACCACAGAACCACCAATTTCACCAGCTGTTCTTATACCAAATTCCTGTTGTGAGAGCTAAGGAAACCAGGTGAGAAACCGTGAAGCACAGCATTAGAATAACAAAGACGCACTGAAAAAAATGAGCATGTCCATGTGGCCTCTCTGACAAACACCAAACAGCCAGCATGGAGAGCTGCCTTCTGCTTGGGAAAGGAGACAATTAAGTCCAGGCCTTAGAGTTGAAATACAAGACCAGGCCCAAACTGCTGAAATACAGTGCTGGGAAGAGCCCTGTGATCTCTAACCCCCAGTCCAATACAAATCAATTGGGCCTTTGGACTGGATTAGGCCTGCCATCAGCTCTCCTCCTTGAACCTCCTGTAGAGAACAGGGAGGAATGAAAGCAAGTAAGGCTTCTTGTCTTGGAGCCAACTGCCGAACACACCACAGTGAGAATCAGCATCCGCTAGAAACTGAAGACATGGAGGCATGCCAGAGCTCACAGACAGAGCCTCTAGGTCACTGCCAGCATCAGATAGAGTAGAACAGATTTGAGGCCTACGTACCAGTCCACATTCATTTCCACCTTTGCATGGGCCTAGAAGGGTCACACCTCTGCCAGTTCTTGAAAACTGTGAAGGTCCTTGGAGCCGTGAGACTCATGCATGGTCCTGTACAGCATCAGTTTTGGGTAGGAACTGCCTCCACCTCCTATCCCTAAACCTCAGGCAACAAAGCTATTGCTACACCAGTGCTCTGCTCACAGATGGAGCTCTAGAATTGCCCAGACCTCCAATGGAAGACTCACATTTTGTCCCACATCACCATCAGCTATGGCATGACCCCTGGTGGACCTCTGGAGACCGTGCAGGTCTTTGTACCCCAACCTTAAGCAGTACAGTGTGATGCAAGACCCCAATCTTTGGAGTAAGGAGAGGGGACTGAACACAGGCTTTCCCATGGCAGTCTGTGCTGTGTGGGCAAAAAGTAACACTGGGAAGAAAGTAATGGCCTTATCCCAGGACCTGAAAACGGACTGAGTGTCTGGCGCAGGCCCAAAGTCAAGAAAAGACATGCAATACCAGACTGTAGGACTTTTAATTCAAGCCAGTATCACCTATAGCTGTGGCTCTGGACTACAAGTCCGCATTGGTGATAGGTAGCCAATAAACAGGGTAGGCTTTGGTCCTAACCAGTATTAGACTAACAATCTGTTCCCAACAAGAAACCGGCTACAGAACTGACATGAGAACAAAAAGCCAACCGGCAGTTTGCACTGAGAGCACGCTATAGGCACAAGACCTGGAACCTGTGCTCTTTTCATTATTTAAATTATTTTTCTTCAGAGATAGGAGGATCTTGGATTGAAGCCAGTCTGGGCAAAGGAGTTAGAGAGATCTTATTATTTTTTTAAAGCACACACCTGTAGTTTAACTAGGCTGAGGCACAGACAGGAGCATCTCAGTTTGAGGTCATTCCCAGGCAAAAGTGTGAGGCCCTGCCTTAAAAATAAACTAAAGCAAAAGAGCTGAGGCCTGGCTCAAGCTGGACAGCATTTGCCTAGCAACTGCAGGGCCCCAAGTAGAATCCCCAGTACCACTGAAAAAACTTTTTTCCTTTTCCTCTTTTCTTTGACAGAGAGCTTTCCTGAAGATACTTTATAAACGAAAACATTCAAATATCTACATTTAAGTATTTACATATAACTTTTACCCTACTGTCTTTTTAAACATATTTCCCCTTTCTTTAATTTTGTACTTCCCTTATGAAATCTCTCAGTAACAACTCTTTAAGACCAAGCACGGTACTGCACACCTGTAATCTCAACTAATGAGAAGGCAGATGACTGGAAGCGGGTGGTTCAAGGCCAGCCTGAGGGAAAAAAAACCAGAAAGACGCCATGTCCATAAGAAATCTGGGCATAGTGGTACACATCTGTGGTTCCAGCTATGCAAGAGGCACCAGTAGAAGGATCATTGTCTGAGGCTGGCCTGCAGCAAAAAGTGACTGAAGCATAAAAGGGCTGGGGGTGTGGTTCAAGTGACAGTGCCACTGCAGCAAATGCAAGTCCCTAATTCAAACCCCTGTACCATGATTTTGTTTTTAATTAGACCTGTTGGATTTTCTTTTTTTGTCTGTGTTCGTGGTTGTTACAATAGTTATTTTTAAAATGTAGGGTTTTTTTTTTCTATATCTCTGAGAAGGGCTCTCCCCACAGGGTGTTGGCTGTCCTGGGGCTTGCAGTCACCCTGCTTTAGCCACCTGACTACAGGGATTGTGGCTATGAGCCACCACCATACCAGGCTTTAACAGTCAACTTCCAATCACCCTTTCTCTGCCCCTCCTTTTACATATATGCAAACATATATTACATACCAATTACCAAGTGCTTTATAGACACTTAGTAGCATATTTCTCCTAACCTTATGTGCCTTCTTTCTGTTCATGAGAAATTTGAGTTAAAAAAAAAAAAGACTAAGAGAAGGACAAAGGCAAGACATAAAATTCAAATGCAGACAACAGATCTAGAATCTCTACTACCCCTCAAAATCACTATGGGGTACCGTGGGAAAGACAGATAAGGAGGGCCATCCCTTTGGGTGCCTTCATATCTTTCTAGGCAGAATAAGAAGAAAAGTTAGCATGTTCCGCATTTATGAGTACAGTCAAGTTTAATCTTCTTTGTCCTATAACCTTGGATTTGGTGAATATTCCATGCTGTTGGAGGCCAGACCATTTGGATTAATAATTACCATTCCTTAATGAAGTAACTGCTCCCTCCCAACGACAACAGGGCACTGGACTTTGGCAAAACAAGGAACACACCACACTTAGGTAAGTCTTTATTGTGAATTCCAATTCTAAACCAGAAACATCTTTGGAACAAGGCGCATATGCTGAGCTGAATTCAGCTTTTATCAGAACTAGAAGGGATCTGCAAGTAGACTGCTGGGGTTTGGGGTAAAGGAGTAGCCAGGCATCAGTGAATGATGTATCGCACATAAGGGACCTCGACGTCCTCTCCACTCTCGTTATTGCAACACAGCTCAAGTATCAGGGCACATACACGGCAGCCCAGTTTTTGCTTCGACACGTGGCTCACAATCTCTGTTATCCTGAGTCGGGAAGCAGAGAGTCAAGAAGGCAGAGAGCAAGTTAGGGAGGACATGCGGGGCTAAAGACAGAAAGACTACTTTGAGGGCTATCACTGGAAGCTGAGGGTCCCATACAAGGCCTCTTCCCACCAGCCCAGCTGCCAACTCACGGCTGATCCAATCGTTCCTTGAGCTTGGCAGCCGGCATAAAGATGGAATAGAGAATGCACACACCCTGAGACAGCACTGTGATTTCCAGTTTGTGCTCTGTCTGGAGAGAGTGGTGAGGAGGGAACAACAATGTCAGTGAGGTGGACAGTGCAATGTCACCTGCACAAGCACTCTCTCCAGATGTGAGAAGTGAAGGAGGAAGCAGGCTTACCTTAAAGTAGTCTAGGAACTGCCTGAGTGTCATCTCCTCACCATTAGACTGCAGTCCCTGTACATCAAAGCGATCCCACAATGTCCACTCCTGGTTATAGTACTGCAGGACAAAGAGAAGCGGGGTAGGGTAGGGGCCACCTGAAATGGCCCTAAGTTGTTAAGCTGAATCAAAGACACTTTCTGGTCCCAACATTCTCAACAGCTTCCTCTTACTGCAAGCAAGCAGGTGAAATTCTTGTAGTAACCAACAGACTCCACAGCTCTGATACCCTGTTACCTCTTTCACTCATCTACCAGCTCCTTAATTATCCATTTAATGTCCTCTGATTACAATGACTCTTCTCGTTTTTCAAATATGCCACTTACAGTTCTACTTCCCACAGGTCTAACTAAACTACTTGATGAATGAACAGGAAGGAGTACAGGAAAATGTGTACGTCCCAAATTACAGAATGCCTTACCTACTATGATTAGGACTATAACCATTATATGTAGACACATACACACTCTGAACCCATACACACATCAAAAGCTGCTATACTTGCAAGATCTCCACCTTGTGATGGGGTGGGGCAACGGGCTCAGAGAAGCTGAAGAAGGGCAGAGCCAAGTTGATGAAACTGTTTTTATAGGACTCAAGCTTTTGGTGTCCCTGAACCACCTTGTATAACTCCAGACACACAAGGCCTACCACAGCAGCTGTGGCTGTTGCGATGGCTGGGATGATCTTCCCTGCAATCAGCTTGCTCTGTGAGGCAGAAAGTGACCAGGACAGACTTATGTTAAGAGAGGACAGGGTCTACAGGAGGTAGCAAATGTGGGAAATGCAGGCTAGGTAAAAGGTGGTAGGACTTGTCTAGATTCCCACTACCTTATGTCGGTCTGCAGGGGAAATGCCATAGTTCTCTGCACGGAGGTTGGATGCAGCCACAATGAAATCCATGTGGAAGTTTCTGTCGTTATCCTGTTGTGAGTGGGACGGGCAGAGGAGGAAAAAAGTTCCTGGTAAGTGGGAACACTCGTATCTTCTACGCAAATTTTGTGCCAAACTCCCCCAGACTGCACAGAATAACCAGGCTCCACTGCAGGCCAGTAATCTTGAGAAAGGCCTATGGTGGAGCCACTGTCAACCCATGCCTCTGGCCATTTCAGAATCCCTCCCCCGCACCTTTTCAAAGTCAATGGGGTACATCTTGAATCCACGAAGCTTAGCTTCTGGACTCGGAAGCTTAGCTCTGATTTTCTCCAGGTAATCGTCACCTGCTGGAAGGAAGGGAAAACCATCAGCCCTGCTGAACCCTTTTGAACTGTGTAAAGTAAAAGCAAGAGCCCACAAGACAGAGGGTGTTCAGGCAGATAAAGGATTTGAAGAGAAGAGACATTCTGGGAGAGAGGGAGAAGGAGACAGAGAGGGACAGAGAGAGAGACAGAGACAGAGACACACATACTCACAGAGAGACACAGAGATCAGAAGACATCCAAAAAAAGGACAGCATGAGGTATGTAGGTGTGAGGAAATCAAACCAATATCACCTCTTGAGACCCTGCAGAGCAGAGATGAAAAAGGATGTGGCACAATACATAGGAGCCAAGAGGGGGAAACGAAGGAAGTATCCTGCAGGAGAAGACATTCGAGGTAAAACATGAGCGAGACTGAGCTGAAGAAAAGGGAAACATGGAGGAGAATTTCAGGGAAATTCACAGAAAAGTAACAGTGAAATATGGAATGAAATAAATAGGAAAAACTGAAAAAGGTACAGTGAAAGAAGAGAAGAGAAGATAAGGGCATGGACGATGGATGAGTCGGGAAAATACATGAAAGAGCGAGCTAGACAGATTTAGGGAGAAATACGCAGAGAGAAACATACAGGTTAGACACTTGGAAATATAAGCAACATATAAAGTGGGAAGATAGAGAGGTAAAAAGAAGACGTAACAGAGAGAAAGAACTTAAAGGGGTGGGAGAAAGAGAACATGAGACATGACAGGAAAAGAGCAACATGGGAGTTGAAGAAGAGCACCAGGGGGTCAAAATGCACACAGAGGAAAGTTTGAGCCACATACATGGACAGACAGATCCATGGATAGGGAGATCTGGAAGGACACAAAGCAGGTCTGGGATCAAGAACAAACAGAGAAAAATGGGCAACCCAGTAAGACAGACACTCAAAAGAACAGGGATGAACAAAACAGAGGTGTCACACACCTTTAATTTCAAAACTTGGGTATCTGAGGCAAGAGGATCCCAGGTTTGAGGTTGGCCTAGTGTATATAATGATATTAAGGAGAGCTGGAAGAAGAAAGGAGGAGTGACAGGCTATGCCTTAATAGCCATCTTTATCATCCTCATCTCATACATGAGAAAGCTGAGGCGCTAAAGACTGGTCTGTGGGCAAATCTTAGGCCTACAGCTGTAAGAATGGCAAAGATCAGTGAGAAGTCATGGATGGACAGGGGACAAGTAGAGTGGTGACTCCTGGACAAACAAACACTGTCCTCACCGACAGAAGCACTGGTGCCCTGCAGCTCCTGGTCAGAAGCATGGATCCTGATACCAGGATCCATGGGGGCCTGCAGAGACTGCAGGTGGGTGGTCACTGCAGCTCTGTCCTGAGACCCCGTCAGTCCATACGTCTGGGCAAACAGGTTGGCAGCAGCCATCACATAGTCCAGATGGAGGGGCTGGGAGGAGGCAGGGCACAAAAAAGTGAGCGCGTCAGCCTAGAACAGAGAACAGGGAGTCTCTGCCCACTTCTCACCCACCCAACTTCCAGCTGATCTTGGGCAACCCCAAAGAGGAGACTTACATTGTTGACATCAAAGGTGAGTGGATGTGGACAGCGTTTGGGCCCAGACCAGAACAGTGCTCCCGAGCTTGTTAGCTAGGAGGATGGAAAGGTTTCGGGGGGAGGCTCTCATGACACAAGACGACTCTATCAATCCTGACTCATTACCTTAGCACAGAATCCTGGACTCACTATTCTGAACAATTCATTTTTTTGTCAGTCACACGGTAAGTGAACCAGCTTATAAATTAAACTAAGTTTAATAAGTGCAAATTCATCCACACAAAACTGCTATGTGACAAGTCGTCTTATCCTACTCCACAGATATGGATGCAGGGGTACAGAGAGAAATTACATGATTTGCCCTAGTGTCAAATGGAGATGAGACTTGAGCCCACACAAGTTATCGTACTCTTACCTCCACAATGTCTCACCTACAATATCTACAGGTCTCACTAGAAACCTGGTATGAAAATGCTAGGGAAAAAGAGAGAGGCTCTTTCTTTATTTGAGGGACAGGACACAGCACAAAGCCCGATTAGATTATCTCATACAATAGAGACTTAATAATCACTGCCTTGTTGGTATCTGTGACGGCTAGAATGCCTATAGAAGAAGCTATATTAGAGGCCTTTAGTAAGCCAAAGAGACCCAGGAAAAATGCAATACCCGGTCTGGAGGGAAGCTGTGCAGCAACTGCCGGATGTTGTCTGAATACTGGGAGTGCCAGTGGTGGTAGGCCCAGGTCACACAGTCAGCCCAGGTCTGTGGCCAATGCAACACCAGACTACGGTGCACAGTCTGCAACACTTCCAAAGGCTGGATGCCTGCCAGGTGTAGTGTCTCCTCCACAAATTTGGGGTCCCTATCAAGAATTCAAGAAAGATAGTACAGGGTTACACAACAGGCCCAAGTATTCACTAAGTCATTCAAAAGGTGTCCCTGGTAACATCAATGCCTCTCAAACAATTCCTAAGAGGGAAGGGAAAGAATGATATCAAGCTCAATACTGAACCAGTTTGGGATACAATATATATGTACACAAAAAGTCACAAGGAAACTCCCTTTGTAGCTACCTTAAACAAACAAAAATGTCACTGTTTTTTACTTTTACAGAATGTGAGAACAGGAGGGCTGAAGAGGTCCTGTTTGGGCGTTTGCTAGCTGTGGGAGGGTGGAAGAAGAGGCGAAATGGTGTGGGAAGGTGAATATAGTGCAAATACAGCATACAGATGCTTGTAAATAAATAAATGACACCTGTTAAAACTATGCCGGGATGGGGGAGGAGGTGAATTCAAATATGATATGCTTGATGTCCTGAAAGAACTTCTGCAAATGCCACAGTGTACCCCCACCCAGCCCAAGAGTAAAAAGAAATACAAAACAAAAAACCACGAAAGCCAATGTTACCCTATTCTAAAACCAGACAAGGAAACAAGAAACACAGGAAACCAAAGATCAGTCTCCCTGATGTTCATTTACAAACTAAATTCCACAACACTTCAAAAAGATCAAACATCATGATCGAGTTGGTTTCATTCCACACAAGTTCAACATACACATCCTTATGTTATTACAATAGCTGTAATAACAACACATAAAAAAGATCAGGGACAAAAATCACATGATCATTCCACTGATGAAGAAAAAGCCTTTGACAAAAATTCAACATCCCTTCTTGATTAAAAAAAAAAAACTCAGAGGAAACAGAAGGAAATACCACAACACAGTAAATCTGTCTATGACAAATGAACAGCCAAAATCATATTAAACAAGGGAAACCTGAAACTATTTCCTCTGAAATTAGGAAAAGCAAAAGAATGAACATTATCCCTACTCTTTTCCAATACAGAGCAACCCAGCAGAAAGAAAGAAAAGGAATACAAATAGGAAAGGAAGAAGTCAAGTTATCCCTGTTTTCAGATGACAGGACAGTGTACTTAAGTGATCCATAAGAGGCGGCCTCAAAAAAATACCTAGGAGTATTTTAGAAGTAAATAAGGAGGTGACAAAAATGATACACCACCAAGAACAAAACTGAGGAGAAGATGGAACTGAGGCAGGCTCAAAGAATTGAAAAAGAGATCCCAGAACTCCTCAGACCCCAAGTCTAACTTATTCTAGCATATTTCATACTGCACTCCTTATCTCAGCCCAGTGCTACCCTTTGTTGCTATAAAATACGAGACAGGCAGCTAAGGACTGCTGGAATGGCTCAAGTGGTAGAATTCCTGCCTAACAAGTGGGAAGCCTGCAGTTCAAACACAGTACAGCCAAAAACATTTTTAAAAATGCTGGTGAGGATGCAGGGGAAAAAGAACCTCTGTACACTAGTGGTGGGAATGTTAATTAGTGCAACCACCATGGAAATCAGTTTAGAGGTTCTTCAAAAACTAAAAATAGAACTGCCATATGCCCATGCTATACTATCTTGAGTAGATATGTGAAGGAGCGTAAGTCAACATATAATAGAGCTTCTTGTACACGCCCGCTTATCACAGCAATCATGGTGTCCAATGACTGATTAACAGATAAAAAAAGTTGGACATATACACACTCAAGTATTACTCAGACATAAAGAAGAATAAAATTACGGTGTTTACAGGAAAAAATGGGAAAAAATGAAGATCACCAAGCTGAGCAGGACAAGCAAGCTTAAAAAAGTCAAATATTGCATGTTTTTTCTCATATGTGTAATTTAGACCTAAAATTGATGATGATGATAATGATGACATAGGAACATGAGTTTGTAGAATGGTGGGCAGTCTCACAGGAGTAACCAGGCAAGATAGAGGAGCAGAAAGAAGACAATACTGGGTGACCAACATGACTGAAATACATTATGTATCTATGCGTTATGTATTTATGAAGACAGCAATTTATTTATGCTCATAAAACAAAAGCACTGCCAGACTCCTATGGCTTATGCCTATAATCAGAGACAGACATCAGGAGGATCACTGTTTGAAGACAGCCCACAGACAGCCCACAGAAACAGTACTAGACACGCTAATCTGGAGAATACCCAATACATAAAAGGGCTGGTGGACTGCTCAAGTGGTGGAACACCTGCCCTGGGAAGTTGAAGCCCTGAGTAACACTAACACACACACACACACACACACACACACACACACACGCCCACACACACCCACACACACCCACACACCACACCCACACCCACACCCACACACACACCCACACACACACACACACACACCACACCCACACACACACACACACCCACACACACACCCACACACACACCCACACCCACACACACACACACACACACACACACACACACACCACACACACACCCACACACACACACACCCACACCACACACACACACACACACACACACATACACACACACACACCCACACACGGGGAAAGAATACATGAGCTACTTACGTGAGGTACTGGTTGACAATTTCTGCTGGCTGCTTGAAGAGGACTTCAAACTCATCCCGAGCCCACTGCAGACACAGGAAACAAAATCATGCAGGACACTCTTTCACAAAATAGGTTTCTGAAGGTATCGGAAAAGCCAGGTAAGAACAGCACAGCTGCTGTGAGAAGATGAAGGCCCCCAAACATGGCTTTCCACAATTCCCTAGCATTTCACCTCAAATGTAAGAATCAATGACCTTGCACAAGCATATGTGATGTGTGTGCATGTGAGTTTGAAAACTTATGCATCAGCATTACTCAAGGTATCCATGGAAAAGAAAAAAAGGCACACCTATAATTAAGCAAAGATAATCTTTATACCGTTCACGGGGACTGAGAAGACAAGACAGATCTGCACAAAGACTGTTGTTTTATGAGGTCGCTGAGAATTACCAGTTTATTGTTGTTGGAGGCAATGTCGACTCTGGATTCTCAGGTTCAAATTCCAGCTCTCCCACATACTCCCTAGTTCTGTGATTTCAGGCACAAAGGAAATGTCCCTGTCCCTGTCTCTACATGGCAACAGTAATACTGCACCGTTCATGGACTGTTGTGAAGGAATGAGAAATAATATATACTTAAATCTTACTAAAAGAGTGCCAAGTGCACATTAATGCTAAGTGCTTTACAAAAGCCCTGTGACAAAGATTCCTGCCACGTATATTTAACAGATAAGGAATGTCAGGCAACTCTAGTCCAAGGTTACAAAGTGAACCTGTTTTAAAGTAACTGTGGATCTTCTGGGGGTAAGGAGGTTTGAATTCAGGGCCTCTCGCTTGCTAAGTGTGAGTCGCTCTACCACTGGAGGCACTCTGCCTGCTGAAACCATTTTTTATGGGATTCCCTGCCTATTGGGCAAAGGGAACCAGAGGCTACGAGGAGGGTTATGTGTTGCCAGTTTCCTAAGGGTACCCATTTTATCCAGCTCAACGCTGGTATGGTACATGCTTTACACATACAGGGATCATCGTGATAAACCAGGTGTTGAATACATTTTGGGCAACAGTACAGAGAAACCTAATTGTGCACTTAATATCACAGTGAGGCAGGCTAGTCACGGCAGCAAAAAAGCTGCAATGGGATTTTCTGCACAATGTCATTTCATGCTGAATTGCTCTTTGTCCCTACCCAGTACCATCCTAAACATCCTATTAATGGTTGTTGCAATTGTCAATTCCTCTGCAGGACTAAGTGCCCCAAAAGTAAAGGGAGGCTCTTGGCCAGTTCAGACCTGAGAATGGCACATGCCCAGTAACGGGAACTCTGTCCTCAATGTGACCTCTCAGGTAATGCCTTCCACTTACGACCTTAGGAGTACTGGTCGCATCTCATGCATACAAGTAAAAACCTGGGAATCCAGGCTGGGACATGCCTCAAGTGGTAGAGGGCTTGCCTAGCATGTGTGAGGTCCTGAGTTCAAACCCCAGTATCTCCAAAGAGAAAAAAATATCCCCTGGTAATACACTTAAACACATGTGCAGAAAACCCCATGATATATAACAAGACCTTGTCAGTTCACGGCTGTCAATTACCCTAGTCCCTCCTACAAAGATCACCGAGATTGCTCCTGCATTTACCCCCTCACGACTTACAAGCTGCCCTTTAAAAAAAAAAAAGAGATCTGGGCTTCCGTGACATCTGCCACAGCGCACTGCTTCTTCCATTCAATAAAAGTTTGCAATTTTGCCACTCCTTTGTAATCTGTGTCTGTTAATTCTCTGATCTGAGAGGCACGGATATGAGATCTTGAACAGAGTCTCCTGAGACCACCCCCTGGCAACAGTAAGTACTTAAAAGTTAATTTTGTGTACCAAAATAATGCTTAATATTCTTAGTAACTGTGTATTTCAAAAAGATTTTTTTAAGTTCAAAAAAAAGAAATCACTTACAAAACTTAGGCTGCTACTGTAGAGTCAGGGAAAGAGGAATGGACAAAAGACAAATACTGCACTGGGGTTTGCAGCATCTAAGTGACAAAAGCTTGATGAACAAGACGTTGTCCATCTTTCTAACCCTTCCACTTTCCAGTACCAAAGCTGATTACCTGCAGGGTGTGCTCGATTACACTGGGGAAGTTCTTCAGTGTGCAGATGGGGACAGACTTCTCAGAGGGGTCCTGGCTAGAGCTGTAGGACTCGGTCAGGAAGGGAATAACCACCTGCACATGGCCCTTGGTGCCCAGTGTGCCTGATTCCAATAGAGGCTTACGGAAGTACACACAGCGGCGGTCCATGTATAGGCCTTCAGGAGTAGAGAGGAGTAATGGCATTAAAAAGGAAGAACACAGATTAAGACAGAAAGATAAGCACCTCCCCAAGGTACACATACACAACTCTGCCCTTGTCCTCACCCGCCTCTACACTTACGGGCATGCACATTGTCCAAGGCATTGGCCACACCATCGAGGTTTTGGAAGAAGTCATCGTCATAAATGTGTTCTGTGTCAGGGCCCACACGGTTCTGGTGGCTCATCACCCTGATGTGTGGATTTATTTGGCGCACTGCTGCGGCAGCTGTATCAGACTTTGATTTCTGGGTGGGAACAGGGGAACAGAATTTTTTTCCATGTCTTCACCTTACAAATCTTTACAGACCTTTCCTGAGGACAGATGTAATGAAGGACAAGAAAGATGCAAGTTGAGGAGACTCCAGTTAGGCACATGAGATTTCTGTGACATTGCCAAATGGCTGGTACCATGACAAATGTGGCAGGGGGTGACAGGAAAGGAAAACAACTCACAAACCATCAATGTTCAGATGCATCTTCCCAATATCTGTTGTTTTCCAGTTAATGACACAGAGTTGGCATAGATTCCCTCAAAGGAAACCAAAATGCTAGTCTAAGGACAAACAGGATCCTTTCTAAGCCCAGGTCCAGTTAAGGTTCCCCTCCTCAAATACCTCCACTGGTTGCCAAGTTCACGTGGGGTACGATGAGTGGCAGCCTCTCCAACCTCACCTCTCTGTACCTAAAATACCAAAAGCATACTCTTTATCTCAGATTTCCCTCAGGCTAATACCTGTGCCTGGTAAACTGTTCCCCAAGATGCCTTCCTAGTCTCTTTCTCTAGGTTCTAAAGAGATGGACAGAATTTCCTTCTCCAGCCCTCTGAGGCACTTCCAACTGCCATTTATCTTGTTTCTCACTGCTGCTCTTCTAATTTTCACAGTCTAACATTAGACATATGCCTTTCTGCTGTATTTGTTACTGGCCACTAATGAAGTCTTAAGGACAGTCTCAAAAAAGAACTCTTTGCCATATAGTTTATAGCCATCATTCATTCCTGTATTAGAAATTGAAATGGACCATTCGGTCCATTAAAAAATGTGTATGTCTAACTGCTTTATAAATGACATCATAAATTCCCATATGAAACGTAAAAGAGAAATGCCAGTATTCACCTTTTCATAAATTATGTAATCTCTTAAAGACAGCCCCAATTTCCTCTACTGCATTCAATCCGTTCCTTGCTTTGCTTAAAGGATTATAACGGGTACTCAGCACCACAGAATATGTTATGGTTCAAAGTCTTTTGGGAGAATGCTTGACAACTTAAAAATAAGCAAAGAAATTGATAAATGATAATGATTTAGAAATTCCTAGCAAGGTACGTAAGTTTTCATATCCACATCAATATGGGATGAATGGATTTTTTATGGACTTTCAGCTAGGGCGAAACTATTTTATTTAATTATTTATATATTTACTTATTTATTTTTATTTATTAGAATAGGCTGTCACGCTACATAGCCTAGGCTGGCCTCAATCTTGTGACCTTTCGGCCTCCTACTAACTGCCTGATAGAGCTAAAAGTATAATTTTTACATTATCACGCACTAGTCACTTGGAAAATACTGTTTCACTAAGCTATGGAAGGATTCCTAAAGTAAGGTAGAAACGTTTTTGTGCAGATGAAATAATTTCAGTGAAATAAAACCTACTTTTTGTTTTGGGTTGTACTGGGGTTGGAACTCCAATACTGCTTGCTAGAAAGGTACTCTACCACTTGAACCACGCTACCAAAGCCTTTTTTGCTTGAGTTATTCTTCAGATGAGGTGATCTGTTTTTGCCCAGGGCCACCCTCTGGAGCATGATCCTCCCATCCGGGACTCCAGCACTGCTGGGATTACAGATGTGCCTGACCAAGACTGCCTTTGAGAAAGAGCCTCGACTGGCACAGCACCATGATGCTCCTGTCTCTGCCTCCCAAGTATCTGGGATTACAGGTGTGAGCCACCATGGCAGCAACGCTGTGTCCTAGTGCTTTTAAGATTACAACAGAACACAATGTTCTAGCCTCCAGAAGACACCAGGAGGCGTTCTGAGAACTTCTCACTTACTACGCATCTTCCCATCAGAGAAAAGCAAGAACCTTTCTTTTGTCACCTGATATATTCCAAATGTTTAGAACTCAGAATGTAGAGTGTAAAATGTAGAGTATAAAAAGAAAGACATGTTCTGAGCAGGCAAATGTAAACAGACCTTTACAGAAGACTCCCCAGATAATGCCTCTATAGCCCTGCCTCATTAGCCCCCTAGTTACACTGACCAGAAATCAAAGGAATAAAGGGTGAGAGAAGGAGCTGTGAATACTCACAAATGACAAAAAGTAATCAGTACTCAATAAACATCTGCTGAATTAAAGATGGACTTGCTGAGCAAAGGAAAGGAGAGCTGAAAACCAACAAAAAGGCCAGAAGATCTACAGCATTAGGATCAGAAACAAGAAAAAGAGGTGAGAAAAGGGAGAGAACTCCACCCCATCCTCACTCACTGTGATATCCCAGGGACGGAAGAGAAACTGTTGGTTCAGATTGGACTTCTCAATGGTGTCCATGTCAGTAACGGTGACTGCCCCATCCTCCCCACAGCCTAGCCCAATCATGGCGAAGTTCTTCAGCAGTTCACAGCCAATCGCCCCTGCACCCACCTGGAAGGCAGTAAGAAAGAGTCTAGTCAAAGTGACTGGAGGTGACACAAAGCCTGCACTCTCCACCACCTGGAGACACAGAGTAAAAACGGTTTGGAGCCACACAGCCAACGTCTGGGATATAAAACCTATGGTCACCTGAGGAAGGACTCACCAGAGGGGAAAAATCAAAGGGACGCATCAGGGTTTTCCTCCATATAAACAGGATGGGTAAGGCTGTAAGAACCAGAAGACCCTCCCCCAAGATGCAGAACAGATAGAAAGGGTGGCCAGAGATGAAGAGTGAGTGTCCAACAGTCATTCACCAGGAAGAACTTCTGCTTGCCCAACTTCTCTTGCAGGTCTGATCCAAACACAGCCACCTGCCCATCATAACGGTTCTGGCGCTGCAATTGTGAAAAGAGGCAGGTTAGAAAGCAGCTTCCCAATGATGCCTTTTCCCACGATCCCACTTACATACTGGGAGATACTTGTCCTCCACGAAGGCCACTCCGTCCTCAGGGAGACACTCGAGGGCATCAAAGTACAACCACTGCCTGATGGGCATAAACTTGCCAGAACAAGCCTGTGGAGGGAAGGCTGTCAGTGGTCAAAAGAGGACTGGCACAGCCAGCCAGCGATGGACTCAGGAAGGCAACCTGGCCCACATCAAGACATGCCCTTCCCTACCCACGCTGACCTTAAAAACCTCCTGGGCAGCCAGACCCCCAATGAAGGCATTGATGGGTGCCAGATCCCCAGCAGCTACATATGCCAACTTCCGGATGAGTTCTTCATCCAGCTTGTCCTGCTGGACTGCTGGCAAGGCTCGAGCATTCACAGCTTGTGCTAGGGTCACCAGTTCTGATGCATCCTCCTGGTGGCCCAGAAGGAATCAAGAGAGAACTTATTATCTGCTCATGGGGGCAAGAGGAACGGTGGAGAACGGACAGGAAGGCATGATAGGGCTTCAAGCCAGGATCCTGCATAGCCCACCCACTCACTTACCTCATTATGGGGCCGAGGTGGCCGGCTGTGTTGAGCACAGAACTGATGTAGGGCCTGGAAGCCAATGTGCAGATGAGCAGGGCGAGAATATTTGGCAAAATCTGTTATCACAAAGTCTGGCTCAGCTAGTGAGGTCTGTAAACGTTTCTGTGGAAAGACGGATATCAAGACCGGTGCTGTGAAAAACCCAGAAATGCCTGAAGCGCCAGTCTACCTTCCTACCTTCCCACCCCACACTCACAAAACTAATCTTCTGAGATACTTTGACTTGACTGACAACGCCTCCACGGATGTAGTCGGAGAAACTGGACGTATTGCAGATACTAAAGGTATAGGGACCTGAAAGATGAAAAAGATGGAAAGGATTCTGTCAACCCACGCACTGAGCTCCTACCATCTCAAAATCAGCAGCACCACAACATGAGAATTTAAAAAGTCCTGTCGTCCTAGCTCGTATACTGGCTTTGACCCAAACTCTGTTCAAACATCACAAACCATCTCCCTGTCAGGAACATGCCTGTACTCCCAGAACTCGGGAGGCTACAGCAGGAGGAGCTTCTGTTTAAGTCCAGTTGGAAGTACATACAGAGTCCCCGTGTCAAAAAAGGAGAAATAAGCAAACCATCTCCCTTCTGCCCTAGGTCTAGTTCAACCCCCCATAGGGACCCTGTGTCTATGTGCTGCTCTGGAGAACCTCTGATGCTCAAACTTCTTCAGACCTTGTGTAAATCCCTGTCATTGTGCCGTTGGAACACTCAGCTCACACCAAAGGACTGGGGTCCCCTATGACCCCCAAAGCTCAGCGACTGAATCACAGAACAACTGAAAGATGTGTTTCTCCTCTCCCCTCACACTTCCCAAACTTCAAGGAAATTCACCCTTCAACTCAAAACTCAGTCTTCTGGAAATTGTCTATCCCTAGCCCATAACTCAGTCAGGCCCTAAGAACAAGGGCATACATAAAAGACCTATCTCTCCTTCACCCCAAAGCAGATTCTAGAGAGATGCCACCTATAAAGACCTAGTGCTCAACTCAAACCCTCTTTCCAGCTCTTGCCGAGCTCAGCGCAGCTGCAAGTCCCCTGTCTAATCAGAGGCTCAGATCCAGATCAACCCAGATGTGCACATTCCTTAACGCTCATGCTCAGCTCAGACAACAAGCTCAAATTGACTCTTGCCCTTAGTTTATTTCAAACAACAGGAACTGGGTAACTGGGAACTTCTGCTTCTGCACACGTTTATCTTTCTCTCTTTGCAGCTAAGAAGCTAAACACGTGATACCAGTTTTCAGACATAGAACAATATGCAGTACAGGATAACGAATCCTGAATGATGACTAACCAGGGGAATGAGTTCTATTATTGCTCCAGGTTACTGATGAGAGGGGAAGAAGGTAAAGCCCAGCAGACGTCCTAGGATGACATACATCTGAGAGTTCAGAGAGAACCAGGGTAGCTATAGTTCACAGCACACAAATCACCACAGAATAAAAGCAAGAGAGAAAGAGAGCTTTAGAGATTTACTGAGGATCTTAAGTATTTATCAGAGACCCAAAACACGGTCAGAAAAGAGCATACAGAACAAAGAATGTAGTAAGCCTATTTTGTTCACAGATTTCTGTATGTCTGTGTGTGTTTTCTTCATTCTTTGGGAATGAACCCAAGACCTTGTGCTACTCTAAAACTTGAACCACATTCCTAATTCTTATACCTGGTTTTGACCAGGCCCAGTTTAAAAAACATTCTGTCCAGACTTTACCCAATTCCATTGTTTCAAAGAAGCACACAGCAGTTGTGTTTAAATCACTGTGTACTCTCCTGAGTATTTCCCTCCCCTTAATTTTGGGAAAATATTCCTACCAATACAAGGGTATGTAATGGGCTTAATCATGTGATAAGGTGAAAATTTTAGATTTATTGAAAAGTGACGTGGCATGTCTTTAGTGGAAGTTCTCTGCTGTTATGGGTAAAACGAGTCAAGCATCCACAATATTCTCCATAAAAAGCAAGAAATAAGAGCTACGCTTTGGTGAACAGTATTAGTATTTCAACCATAATTTTTGTGACAGTAATGTAGTCTCCTCCACACATGCTTAAGTTACGACGCGCACACCACAAGAAAGTTTGAGTAATGTTGAGTAATAAACTCTACCCATCCTGACATTCAAGGTTCTTCCTCAATGGTAGTCTCCTTGGAACCATATATCCATAGACACCAAAGGTCTACTATATAGTAGTATAGTATATACTAGTCATCCCTAGGTAGAACTCATGGAAGGACGCCTGATAGTATGTCAAAAATCATCTTCAGAGTTCTCAATTCAGGAAAAACTTCCTAACACATGGGTGTCACGTAAGAGTACTTACAAGTCTACCTCAGTAATTGCATCACAGAAATTCCAGACAAAACTTAAAAGTCTTGCCAGGCAGCGGTGCCTTGTGCCTATAATCCTAGCTACTCAGGAGGCACAGGATCAGAGGGATCGAAGTTTGAAGTCAGCTCAGGCAAATAGTGTGCAAGACCCAATCTTGAAAATGCTCCACACAAAAACGGGCTGCAGAGCGGCTCAAGTGGTACAGTGCCTGCCTGAAGAGTGTGGGTTCAAACCCCATTTCCACCAAAACAAACAAACGAATTTACAATAAATCCTTAAAAAACTCTTCAGAAGACACAATGGTAGCTGGGCATCCATAATATTCGCAATAGCCTTGGATCTATCAAATATCATCAGACGCGCATGCTACATAGGTTGAACGTCATGATTGGGGATACACAACTTAGAACCTTACGAGAAAGATTAAAGTTGACATAGTAAAATACATTATCCAAGATACGTGAAAAAGGAAAAGCATAAAAAGGAATAAACCGAGAACAAATGAGCTCAGTATACAATGTGGTAAGTATCCAAGAGCGAGATTGTTTTGGTGTGTATGGGGCCGGGGGTGGGGGGGAAGGGAAGGTAAAAATTTTTGAACTACATATGGCCCAAACTTGATAAAATTATAAATCACAGGCCAAATAAATTTAGTAAGACCCAAACAAAGGCGAATGAAGAGTACACACTCAGGTACACCAAAATCACACTGCTTACGGTTACAGATGACACAATGTCAATAATGTACCACGTAAGCCTAATTGCAATTGTCACTACGAATCCCCCCACCCGCCTGTATAATGAATATATCCTCATAAAATATTAGTAATAATTAAAAAATTCAGGAAAGGGGAAAAATGATATTACCTATAGAGGAACAACACTACCAGCAACAAAAACCACAGGTAAGAATGCCTGGCATCCTTAAAGCAATGAAAGTAAGTAACTGGCAACCTAGAATTCTACACACAGATGAAAAGGTCTTTCAACAGTAGGCAAATAAATGCAATTTTGTACATAATGAAGCTGAAAGAATTATAAGCAGACACAAAATAGGACAGAAGGAAAATTGTATCAGATGTAAATTGGGGTAAGGAAAAAGAAGGGAGAATACTGATAACCGGTATGTGTCTGTGGGAAAAATACTCTTCTTTTTCTTTAAACCTCTGCACCAAGACAGTTACTGGTATTTTTTAATTTCCTTTTTATATTTTTCAGTACTGGGATCCAGTACTAAGGCCTCAAGCATGGTAGGCAAGTGCTCTACCACTGAGTTACATCCCTGGTCCTAAAAGATAACTACTATAAAACAAAGTAAAAGGAACATATTGATATTGGAAATTTAAATACACAACAGTGAAATTTAGAATTGCAAACAATGAGAAGCAAATGGAAATACTCTGTGAAAAGCAACTGACTATATACCAAGCACACTACGGATAGACAAGTTGTAAAGCAAATGCTTAAAAAGAAGTATAACCGCTAAAAATTCTTCAGAAAGGAATCAGAGTATTAATCGCTTTAAACTCTTTTGTCTTTCGCTGAGAGGGTTCACACTTCTTCTTTCAGAAAGATCTCATAACCCACCTCTAAGGTCCCGGTCAGGTCCCAGAGAACTATCTGCCCTTGGCTGTCATTTTGGACTAGATATGCATCACCTCTTGGCCTCGGGAACAGTCCACACCATGAGGACAGCTTTCCCTTTTGCACCGGGCAATCATTTCTCACCCCTCAGCCTTGGCATACCCAGGACTTTGATCTCTATGGGATGGGCGTCATTGAGTTCACTCATGCCCTGTACTTCTGTGAAGGAGACAAAGTCGCCACTCTCAAACCCATGCTGGGATTCATCCAGGCAGGTGACAACTCCAGGGTTATCCTGATCAGAAAAGAGTAAGATTTGGAGAGAAGTTCAGGGTGCCAGCAGCTAGGAAGGACAGCAGCCGCCCTCTTGCCTGGGGCTCGGCTCCTTACCTTGGTGACCATAGAAACCATAGCACTGAGTGTCGGTTCCCCATTGGAATCTATAAGAATCATTTCCTCTCCAAAGTCACAGAAGAGTTGCCTGTGGAGGGAGACAACACGACTGGTGCACGAGACCATGCACATGGCACTCCACGGTCCACCAAGTTGCTGTGAGTATTTGCCGAGCAAACATAGCTCATCACTGGTGGAAATCAGATGGTGCTCAAGACACAGAAAGAGAGAACAAGCCACTTTGAGAACCTGCTTAGCTGAGGACAGTGAGGGCCTCTTAGCTGGGTTTGGCATGGATTAGAGGAGAGAGAAAGGGAGGGAGAGCAGGAGCCAGGGAGATGAGGGAAGGATGGATAGTAGGAAAAAGGGGCAGAGGGAGAAAGATGCGCAAGCACTCACCCAAACAGGCCCCGGGTGTCTGCCATCACCAGCTTGATCCCACAGCTGTGACATATTTCACCCACCTGCAGCTGTAACTCTAAAGGAGCGCTGGTAAGGACCACCACCTGTAAAACACAGGAGGTTTTACCAAAATGCTGAGGGCCTGGCTTTGGAGTGAAGGGGATAAAAGACAAAGCTTGACAGAGAAGGGGGAGTGGGAAAGAAATCAATACCCAGACTTTGCTGGGTCAGTCTTCTTCCTCAAATACTTGTAAAAATACGGACCTGTGTTAGACTCAGTTGAAAAGAAAAGAATCTACAGACCAAAAAAAAAAAAAAAGATAAAAGAGGTACTGAAGGACAGACTGAAAGTCAACTAACTCATTTTTACTTGGCAAATGTGTACTGCTGCCTAACTACAACCATGCTGTAATGCCACGGACAAAACTTGAATGACACAGTTCCAGTCAAAGTCTGGGTTTCCTTCCACTAAGCCTATTTGCTTCAATTCTCAAGAAATAGCCTATTCAACCATAAACTGTGGGATTTCCATCTGAATATCTTTTCTTGCTCATCAGGAAGAGTTTTGACTTCTACCCTCTCAAAGACAATGCTGAAAAACTGACTTGTTCCTGGTCACACAATAATAAGAGTTCAAGAATTACACAATAAGGTAGGGGTTGGAGGAGCTCCACAACTCAGTACCCATAACCACTCCACCACAATGTATGGACACATCTTCACTCCAGCAAAGTAATGAGTCCCCCAAGAACAGATCCAGACTTAAATTTCTGCCTGCACTGTAACCCTGCAGCACAAAATCCGACACACAGGACATGCCAAAATGGCAAATATTTGTTATCAGGCAGACATTTCACCTGGGGAAAAAAACCAAAAATGGCAGGACGCAGGGTGACATTCCCGGTACCTGGAAACCACTAAGGAAGTCCTCAATGAGGGGTCCAGTGTAGGTGCTGACAGACACATAGCTGTTGAGTTCAGCAAGGCGGGGCTGGGATACTTCAGCTCTGTTTTTACCAACATCCTCCTCACGCAGGTAGAACTACAGTGGTGTGCAAAGAAAGAACAGAAATAGATGCGAACTGCCCAGGAGAGTCTGGAGTCTTGACAAAGGAAAGAGAACAAGAAAGAGGTACCTGGGAGGATAGGTCAGCCCACTGGGCAGTACCCTGGTCATGAAGGGTGACAGACTTGACTCCACCAAGGATGATGTTCTTGGCAATTTCCACACCCAGACCCTGCAGGCCTGATACCAGCACACTAGATGTCTGCAGATGCTTCATTGCCTCATGACCCAATACATACCTGCCAGGGGGAGACCTCTGGGTCAGGACTTGGCCCACCCAATCATATCCACTCTGCACCTCCTCCCACTAGTTAGTCCCATCCTCTGTAGCACTTACAGCTGGCGGGAGTAAAGACCTTCATCTATGTCTATTTCACTGTCTTCTGGCACTTCCTAGGGATGCAGAACAGTTTCAGTAAGCGGTAGTGGGGCACGGACAGATTAAGAGACAGACGTACTTCCCCGCCAACTATTCTACCAACCCACTTGCTAGTCTCGAGGAAGAAGGCACTCACGGTGGTTGGTTCTGAGGGCACCTCAAGCTTGTCAGCGTATGCAGACATTCGGCGTTTCTTACATAGCAGTGGACTGGACATCTGGAGAGAAAGTAAGTACCTGAGGACAGGTGGCATGTGGGTAGGCGTTTTCTATTGCTTACCCGCAATACAGGGGAGGGGGAGGATGTTAGCACTAGTATCTCTGTTTTCAGGCAGACAAACAGAATCTTCTAAGAATGAAGGCTGCTCTGAAAGGGTAAGAGGAGGCTGAGCTTGGACAGTTCAGGCCATGATTCAGGAAGCAAACAGTGCATAGACTGTGAAGCAGCACTAGACTTATCTGGCCAATAATACAGAACAGCACTTTGAACACTGCTTTTGAAAGTAGAGCAGGGTGCAGATAAAACTGGTGAGTCCCTGTTAAGGGGAGTGGGACCAGATCTGATAGTCTCTGACAGGTTCATCGAAACCTCCTTGGGTGAAAATGGGAATGGAGTATGTGTTCAAACATCTCCCGCCTGATGTCTGGTTTCCTGGGAGGCTTGCAGACAAAATACTAGGGGTTATCTGAAGAGAATGCTGAGCATTCCATAAAAGTAGATGCTGAACAGTGTGTCTCTGAAGTACCCTCTGAGTGTGACTCAGAGGGGTTTCTGACGTAATTGTTGGGATTGGGAGGGTAAGTGAAATGCTGGTCTAGGATCATCTCTGCAGTGAATGGAGAGAAGAGTCTCTAAAGGAGACACTAAGTTGTCTGAATAGAAATCCCGGGGCCAACAGGGTCCTCTTGTGGCAGATGCTACAGTTCAGGTGAAATGTCCAGCTGTGGGCATCTCTGATACAGAGTCCAGGTCCAGATGGTCTCCTCCTTTAGTTGTGAAGGCTGTGCGTGAAGCCAGGAAAGGAAGAAAGTTTTTCTTTTCTTTTTTCTTTTAGTTTCAGTGAAGGTCAAACAGCCTCTCCGAGGTCTCTGGCCGCCCTTGGAAGCCATGAGAACAAATACTGGAGGGTCTCCTTCTTTTCTCCGCATGTAATTGTTATTAAAGTTACTTACCTATTCACTGTACACATCAGTAGTTCACCCTGTGATATTTTCATCGTGCATTGCCATGCACTGATCGCATCGCCCCATCATCCCTGTACCCGGGGAGGGTCTGTAAAAGCATGTGTTGATGAGGTAATTATGGCAAGAATTGGGAAACTGGTGAAAACCTATAGGTGGCCAGCGAAAGTCATAATAAAACACGAGGTGTACGAGGGGAAGTTCTGGTTGGTGATGTTCGGTCTCGGGCTGTAAAATAATTCTGCGGGATGCAGCATCCACAGAGCCGTGCTTAGATTCCCGCGCAATTCAGAAACAACGATAAAACTATGCCTGCGAGACCCACCGGGATAAGGAGAAGCTGGGCTCCTGGATCTGCTCTGGCCCCCTCACCCTAGGACCATCGGAATTACCAAGGTGTGTCCTGACAACAGCTCTGACTAGCAGACCCGGGCCCCCCCAAAGCCCCTCAGGCGCCCGCCACGAAAGGCTCTTTGTTACCAGTGCCGGGTCCTGGGTTGCGCCGCCAAAGGAACCGAAGTCACACTCCTCCCCTCAGACTGCGCTGCAACAATTGCAGCCTCCGTCTTCCCCTCCCTGGGCAGGTGGAACAGTGCTTCCCCTCCGCAGATCCGTCCTTCACCTTAGCCGCTGTGAGGACAAGATGGCGACCGCCGAGCCCAAGGACAGAGTTCGAGCAGCAAGGAACCAGGATGCAGAAGAGCCACGCCCACTCATGAATCATGCATGACGCCTCAGCCCCATGTGACTCAATTACGTACCGGTGGGTGGGAGGACAGTAACTCCATCTATCCAGGCCAGATCCTGCAAGGTGGGAGTGACTTCGCTCTACAGGGCTTGCCCTCGTTCCAACCCCTGCACCACCCAAATAGTAACAATCATGGTAGTATGAATAATTGCATCACAGACACATAATGCCAAAAGGACGCACTGCTCGTGAGTTTTAACAGCACAGGGCTTATGAGCTTAAAATTCAAACCTGTTGCCAGGTCTGACTGATTTCTATTCCACACTCCTGCAGTTGATACCTCACTAGGGACCCATGCCTTTCTTTGCTCCTCTACAAAACTGGTAACAGCACCCACAGTAAGGAAAAATGGTAAAATGAAAATCCAGCGGACTGTAAACTTTACAGCATTGCTTTTAAGTATTGCAAATGATGTATGCAGTAAACACACAGATATCAAATTTAAAGTAATATTTACTAACGTAAAATTGATAAATTGGCACAAATTTTATTTATTTAGGTGACATTATTTATGAAGAGAGATACCCAGGCAGCAAACTTCCTATTGCACATCTTTGGGTGAAGAGGGTAAATGGTGCCAGCTTTTGGGGTTTTTGTCTTGTTTTTGAAGGTTGCAGGAGCCAGTTTGTTTTCAGTCTTGTATGCGACACAAGAGTGAGAAGAACGATAATGTTTGTCCCTGCTTGCTCTTTTACTTTCTGATGTCCAAACAGCAAAGAAGCTACTTCTTACATGCCAACTAGCTTCTTTGCTCACTTGGTCCTGAACATCCTAGGCTCTAGAACTGTGAGGAAGTGTTCTTTAGGAGTTCCTCAATCTCAGCTAGTCTGTTGCTGCTGCACAAAATTAACCAAGACCTTTATCCTTTTCTGTTTAAGGCCTTATCTCAAAGCCCCCTCTTTCACCTTTAAAGACATCATTCCATTCTTTGCTTCTGACATCTCATTGCCTTCTCCTTGGACACAGACATCTCCTGCCACCCTCATAAACACCACTTTTGGGGTGGCATTCATAAACTCTAGGAGTAGAGCTGGACTATTTGGGAGACTTAATTGTTTTTGGCAATCACAAACAAAACTTACATAACTAAACTGTCCTGTAATTACCTAAGGCACCCATGGTTCTAGAGGAGAAATTACTTGTTTCTGTTAGCGAGACTCTCTTGTATGTAAAGAGTTTCTCCTACCTGGGATTTTTGGTTTTGTTTTGTCGGGGGGAGATGTGGGATGAGGGTTGTTTGTTTGTATTTTGGTGTTACTGGGGCTTGAGCTCAGGAAGGACTTTGTGCCTGCTAGGCAGGGTACTCTGCCACTGGAGCCAAGTCTCCGGCTCTAAATGCTTTTGTTATTTTTGAGAGAGGATTTCAACCTGTTCTCTTTTATTCCTTTGGGCTACCATCAAATGCTCTTTCATTTCCCTCACCCAGTCCTCCCTTCTTTTTTTTTTTTTTTTTTTATTTAGTGTTGTGCGTGCTGGGGGCACATCTGTCATTTGCAAAAGTTCTTAAAATAAATCACATGGACCATATTTCAACTCATCTCCCTTCATGATTCTTCTTTTTCCCAAATCCACCACTCTTGGCAATGATTTCAGTTTTGGTTTTGTAACTTTGGGCCAGGGCTGACCTTTAACCCTGATCCTCTTTATCTGTGCCTCCTAAGTAGCTGGGATTGTGCAGGTGAGCCACTACACCCAGCCTTCTCTTCCTGCTTTTGAGTCCTCCTCTGTCTTTGGATTTTACCAGTTTATTACAACATGTATTGGGTTGGATTCAGTTATCCTGTTTATCTGATTGTGCAAAAACTTTTTTTCATTGTATTTAGGAAGGTTTCAGTCATATAGCTTCAGTTTCTCGTTCTGTTTCTGTAATTGTTTTGGCAAGCCATCTCAAGGAAAGCTTTTCCATGTTGGGTGAGATCTGAGCAGGTCCAACACAGATTAATATTGTATACAGACTTAAACTGCAGGTGGATGTTCCAGGGAATATCTCAGGCATATTAAACAATGACTTATTTGGGAGGTGTAACATTTCAAAAGACATCCAGGCATTTGGGGCAGCTGCCCACCTGCAGCTGACAGAATACCTGAGGCTATTTTTCATGAAGCTAGAAAGAGGACCACTAGGTCAGCACAAGTTGAAATGATATAAAGCTCAAATTATATCCAGTTCTTGCTCTTGAAAAATGCTTCCCCAGTTACCTTGAAAATCTTGCTCAGTTTCTGAGGGGCTCAAAAACCTGATTCTGATCATTTTGCCAGTTTTCTTATTGCTCTTACAGTACAACAGAATGTACATTCTGCTCCATTTTTGCCAAAGTACTTTTTACTTCTCACTACAAGAGAACACAGAAGTTTTTCCATGTCTCAGGTCAAAGGTGACCCAGGAGAGATCTTGGACTCATACACAATCATCTCACAATTTGTATGTTCTGCAGTGAGCCACTTCACCTCTCTGCACTTCGGTTTTCTGAAATCAGCCTACTCAAGAATACAGAAATGTACTTTCATACAGGGCCAACTGGGGCTGCAATCTGGGAAATCACAGACTCAAGCAACTCTGAAAATACATTCTTTGTGTTGCTGTACTTAAAGCTTAAAAACCCAGGAGGGGGTCTCCGTCACTTGATTGATGGAAAATACGATGAGTACTAACAAGAACTCAACTGTCTTCAAAGAAAGGGATCGGCTGGTGTCTCAGTCTCTAGGTAATACAGGGAAAACAGAGAGTTGTACAAATAGTTAACGAAAGCTAGTGAAATTAGTCTGACCCTGTCCAAAGGTCCTTATGCATCTGGGTGCTTATATGCAGGCAGATTTCAGATGTGGATATATCTGAGACCTGCTTTAACAAAGGCCTCCTGACTGTGTTTCAAGTACCCCTTAAAACCTATGTTCGTTTATTCTGATTTTCTGCCTTCACAGTAGTAGGTATACATTAAGTCTTCAAAATAGTGAGTGGCACAGTAATGGTTACTTTATTATTCCAGTACTATTACTTTACATGGAATTATGATATCTGCCCAAGATAGCTTCTAGGGTTTCTTCCCACTTCTGTAACATGCTAGAAACTGGGCTATTACATCACACATGTCACCAAATCTTGGAGCCGAGACTTACGTGGTTAATCTGGATGATGCAAAACATTGAAGTCCTACCTGATGATGGAGCAGGGACTCAGAAGGATCTAGGCCAGTGTTTGGGAAGTGGTTTTGGACGTGGAATGAGAGAGGTGGGGAGCTTCTCACTTGGCACACATTTTACAGTGTGGGTATCCTAGGAGATGAGAAGAGGGAGATAAACTTGAAGGCTCTTCAATGCTTCAATGCTTCATATTCTGCATTTGATTAAAGATACTCCTGTTCATGGAGCCGGTATTCCAAATGAAATTAAAGACAACAAATGAGTAGAACATGTAACGTAAATGGTTTTGAATTATCAACCCCTGCTATAGGCAGAATTATAATGAGGAAGAAACTTACAAAGATCTGTTCTCCCTTGGACCACTCAGTCCGTAGGCGAGCAAGGTGGAAAGACAGACAAATGAGAAAACTACATAGTATGTTAAAAGTGCTATGAAAACTATGTATTATGGAATAAGTGCTATAAAGGAAAACAAGGAAGGAAAAGAGCAAGACCCAGAATATATAAGGGGAAGGTGGCCATGTGAAGACAGAGGTAGGGATTATAAAGAAAAGAGCATATTTAGGGAAG